TATGATATCCTGATATCCTAACTACTTAGTTTTGTTAGCTGTAGAAATATTACCAAATGTTTAATTCAAAATGAAAATATGCCAAAAATATGACAAAATTGAAAAAATATGAGAAAATTTTACAAAATCAATATTTTCATATTTAGAGAGATATTTTGATGCGATTTTTTAGACGTTTTTTCTTTCCTGCCAAGAGGCCATTCTGAATTAATGAGAACTGTCGAAATCAGTTCAGCCGTTCTCGACATATAAGAGATCTTTCAAGCATATCTCCTTTGATAGACCTATATATCGCACATATTTTGCTATATATCCGATTTGTTGGATAAGAACATCAATGTAAAGGTCAGAAGTAACCTTGTGATGGCTTTATGATTTCGCCGGAATTTAAAATATTCGCGGTTTAATGAAAAATTTTGAATTTTTTCAACACAAAATATATGGTATATTTTACCCGCTAAATATTATCCGATGACCACCCAAATTAGTAGGCTTCTTCCCCGCCCTAAACTCTATCTACATGCGGAATTTCTATCTACATGCGGAATTTCGCGTCGATTGGTCTATAATTGCGACCTGTATAGCTGCTGCAAAATCCGACATTTTTTCAGTATTTGGTCCATTTCAAACCCTAAACATTTGGCGATCATCTCCAAAAGCAATAGGGTTCTATTCTGGTCCAAGCCCCACCTACATTCTAAATTTCGTGAAGATCGGGCCATAATTGCGACCTGTAGAGTGATTACAAATTAACATGGACAGACGGACAGACGGACGGACGGACATACATAGCTAGATCGACTCAGCTCGGCGAGCTAGGAAGATCCATATATACTTTCCTATGTGGGAAACCAATATTTCGAGGTGTTACATAATTTTTGGCCCAATCAAACTTATAATACCCCCAACACATAGTGTTGTAGGTTATAAAAACATCGTTAAATGGTGGAAAAATGTTCCTTGAAAAAAATTCGAAAAATTCACAATTTGGGGCTCAAATGCTCTAATAATAGCGGAGGACCACTAGGACTATTTGAGCTACAGATTATTGTGAAAAATGCATGATTAGTGGTTCTAATGGCCCTTGAAAAATATTCTTAAAATTCCGTGATTGGTGGCTATAAATAGTCCTTGAAAAATGTTTTTAGAAATCCCAGATTTGTGGCTCTAATAGTCTTTCAAAAAATATTCTTAAAATCTACGATTATAGTACCTTAAAATATACTTGAAAGTCCTCGTCTTGTAGAACCTGAGGTACTCGAAAACGTTTTTCAAAATCCATCCATTCAAAATCACAATTAGTGAATATTGACAAAAGTATTCTTGAAATCGTGGATTGGCTCCGTTGTCGTAAAAATAATATTCTTAAAGGTTCAAGATTTGTGGCTATCATAGTTCTTGAAAAAATATTTTTGAAATCATCGATTATAGTCCTTTAAAGAGTATTCTTGAAAATCCTCGTCTTGTAGATCAAGACGTCCTTGAAAAAATTTGAAAAATATTCTTAAAATCCACGATTTGTGAATTTTGAAAAAATTTGAAAAATATTCTTAAAATCCACGATTTGTGAATTATGAAAAAATATTTTTGAAAATCCACGATTATTGGCTTCGTTGTCCTTACACCCAAGATTTGTTTCTTAAAAACCAGATTTGTGACTCTCGTAGCCTTAAAAAATATATTTTTAAAATTTACGATCATAGTCCTCAAAAGAATATTATTGAAAATCCTAATTTTGTGGATCTAGGAGTCTTTGAAATAATATTCTTAAAAATCCATGATTTGTATCTATAAATAGTCCTTGAAAAATAATCTTAAAAACCACGATTTTAGTCCTTAAAAAAATATTATTGTTAATTCTCGTCTTGTGGATCTAGAGGTCCTTAAAAATATTCCTAAAAATTCACTTTTTTTGATCCGTAGAAAAATATTCGAAATAGTCCCCCACGATTAACATATTTCAAAAATTCGGTGTTATATATTTTTAAAAATCCTCATAGTCCTTGAAAAAATTCTTAATATCAGCGATTATAGTCCTTAAAAAATATTTTTAAAAATCCAAAATTTGTGACTCTAATAGCCCCAGGAAAATTAGTCTTAAAATCCACGATTATAGTCCTTAAAGAAATATTCTTGAAAGTTCTCGTCTTGTGGATCTAGAGGTCCTTGAAAAAATATTCTTACAAAACCGTGATTAGTGACTATTAATGGTCCTTGAAAAATATTCTTGAAAATCCAGGATTTTTGGATCCGTTGTCCTTAAAATATTCTTAACAAATTCAAGATTTGTGGCTCTCATAGTCCTCGAAATAATACTTAAATCTCGAAATAAATCTTAAACGAATATTCAAAATCTTCATCTTGTGGATCGAGAGGTCCTTGAAAAAATATTCTTTAAAATTCACGTTTTGTTGCTCTGGTGGTCCTTGATAAATTTTCTTAAAAATTCACGTTTTTTTTTTTTTTTTTTTTTGAACCTATTGATCCGAGGAAAAATACTTGAAAAACTTCATAATTTTAATGCTTCAAAGCATATTCTAAAAAATCGGTGTTTTTGGTTCTTAAAAATATTGTTAAAAAATCCAAGTTTATCTGCTCTGCTAGTCCTTGAAAAAATATTGTTTAAAATGCACGTTATTTTGGTCTAATGATACTTGAAAAAATATTTAAAAAAAACTCCACAATTATAGTCCTTGAAAACATATTCTAAAAATTCGGTGCTAGTGGTCCTAATAGCCCTTGAAAGAAATATTCTTAAAAATCTACGATTCCTAGATAGGATGGCTCTTTCAATTTTTATTAAATGGATTAATAGTCCATGAAAAAATATTCTTAACATTGACGATTTGTAAAAATTTATAAAAAATTTAAGATTGTTGTCTCCTTTGTCCTTAAAAAATATTTTTAAAAAACCAAGATTTGTGGTAGTTAAAAAAATTGTAATATTCTAAAAATTCGGTGCTGGATTCATAAATTTTTTTCTTAAAATCCCAGATTTGTGGCTCTAATAGTCCTAAAAAATATTGTTAAAAAATCCACGTCTGTGACTCTGCCGGTCCTTGAAAACATATTCCTAAAAATCCACGATTAGTGCCTCCAAAAGTTCCAAAAATATTTAAAAAAAATCTACCATTAAGGGCCTTGATGAGCCTTGAAAAATAGTCTCAAAAATCTACAATTTAAAGTTCCAATAGTGTACCCCAAAGTCATAAAAAAATTCAAAAAAAAATCCACTATCTGATGCTCCGATGGTCCTTAAAAATAATTTTTAAAATGAGGTTGATTGAGGTTCCACTAGTTATTGAAAAAAATATTCTTAAAAATCCATTTTAGGTTCGACTAGTAATTGAAAAAATATTCTTAAAAATCCCCGACGCTTGTATCCAAAGGTCCTAAGAAATATTAAAAAAATAGGATCGTGGGCCCTGATGGTCCTTAAAAAATATTGAAAAAATCCACGATTTGAGGTCCCACTAGTCGTTGAAAAAATAGTGTTAAATATCCACGACGCTAGTATCCAAAAATCCCAAAAAATATTTGAAAAAAAATCCATGATTTGAGTTTCCACTAGTCCTGGATAAAAATTTTAATAATCCACGATTTAAGTTTTTACTAGACCTTGAAAAATAATCTTAAAAATCCAAGTGGCTCGAGAAAAGGATTCTTAAAAAATGTTCTTTTAAATCCATCACTTTTTTTGAGATTATAGCTTCTGTTGGATTTAAATGAGCTGTTAATTAATTAAGAAGTAATTTCGTCAAGATATTATAAATTTAAGTCCTTACAGCCGTTTATGCAGATCCGTACCTTATCGCCATTGGTCGAAGCAAAAGGAAGTACAATGTAAATTCCTCAATCCAGACACCTTGTGGTACCTGTATTACAGCAATGTCCATTTCATGTTGACACTTAGCCCTTAGTAAAATCAAGCTTTTAGCCAGATCCCTCCTTTACCACCCATCCCCTTGCCGAAGATTTGTGAAAAAAGCGTGCTGAAGCAATCTTAATTGCCTGGAATTGGTGATAAATTTTTCGCCACATTTCAAAAAACCATCAATTAAATAATTGCCCAAAAAAACCACAGGCCCGAATTAATTTCTGGAGGGAGAGAAGGGGAGGAGGTTTAGGATTTTCTATGAATATTATGGTGAGAAAAATGCCATAGTTTTTCTCACACAATTACTCAATGGGCCAGGCCAGACCAGACCAGCAACACGCAAAATGGCATGAAAATACACTTAAGGCGCTGCTGACGCTGCTACTGATTAATGGTGGTGGTCACTAAATGATAAAGACGCACGAATTTCGTATATTATGTATGAATGAGTTCGGACGCGCTCGATTTTGTGGCACACAGACCCACATAGTCCAAAACTTATACACAGGCAAAACCCCTCCAGTGGCGAACAATGGTGTTTTGTTGGATACATGACTGAATGATTGTCTGATGATGCAACCTGTCGAACTACAATGCACTGAAGTGCGCCGCCCTGCTCCACTCCACTCCGCACTTGGACTGATTTGATTTCATTTCTTCGCCAAATGGAATGGGAAAAGTCGCATAGTTAATTCGACAACGCAGCGATCAGATAATTAAGAAAGCTGGTGGACACTCGGTGTGCAGACCCCTCTGCGCACCTTCGGCGAGTGTTGGAAAATGCTGGCTCGCTAGCACTAGCCAGCCACACTTATGGCTCCAAAAGTGGTCTATGGAATTTTATAAAAGCAAATGCCGCAACCGGACTTGGCTTTAGTTTGGCGAGAAGCGCGCGTGCCTAACAAACAGTTATTAAGTTATCAGCCAGCCAAGGAAAGTGAAACAAACAAACGGACAAAAAAAGAAAAACAATTAAAGGCGAACAAATAAATTTTCTTGTAATGGAAACTATGAAAAAACCTCCAATGGAATATGTAAAATAAAGAAAAAACAGAGGAAGACCGAACAAGATGAGACAGGTTTAGTGGAACAAAAAAAAAAAATAAAAATTGTAACCAAAAAAGAAATTCTGAAATCCAAAAAAAAAAAAAAATAAAAATTAAACAAAAAAGTATCCCCCGCTTACAAAATGGCAAAGTGTAACCCCTTATGGTATCACTTACTGGCCCTCTACTGTGTAATGGGTGTGGGGAGAACCACCCTAGCCCTGGATTGGAATAAAGTGAAACCCATGTATTTGGTGGCCATGAATCCGAAACCCACCAACTCGGCCATGCACGATGCCAACGATGATGAACCGTTGGTCCTGAATCTGGAAACTGAACCCATGCCCGATAATGACATTACCAAAGAAGCCATGAATCGTATATTTGGTGGCAATGAAGCGGATAAATCTAGTTTCCCCTATCAAATTGGTTTCCTGCTGCAGAGGCCCAAGGGTCTTTATTGGTGTGGCGGCTCATTGATATCCCATGAATTTGTCTTGACGGCGGCCCATTGTGTGGATATGTAGGTGGCAGGAGATTTATGATTTGGAAAAGTGAACGATTTTTAAAATTAATTTTCTTCTTTTTATTGGTGGTGTTAAAAAAGGGCCTCCCGTGCTTTGGTGTTTCTGGGCGCCCACGACATCAAAAATCCCGATGAACCTGGCCAAATACGCATGATGGTCTATCACCGTGATTTCTATATATTTCCCACATGGAATCCTCGCAAGCTCAAGGATGACATTGCCATAGTGCATTTGCCGAAATCAATAAGCTACAATGGTAGGTTGAATAGAGGTTTGAGAGAGAGAGAGAGAGAGAGAGAGAGAGAAATTAAAAACCAAACCAAAGAGGACCAGCACTTTTACTTAGGCAGCAGAAATGGTAATAGTTTGGATACAGGGGTTATATTCCCCAAAGAGACAAATCAAAAAAATAGGCAGTTAAAACATTTCTATAAAATCTGAAAGACTTTAGAAAACCTTGAGAGAGGATAACAAGTAAAAAAAAAACAGCTAAGTTCAGCCGGGCCGAACTTTTACAACTCTCCACCATTTGGAAAGAAACTTGAAAATTTAAAAAAAAATCCAAAAAAAATTCCGGGGACTATACGAAGACGTGGACCTGCAAACGATTTTTTTTGTCATGTGCTGTAGTACCGATTCCGAAATAAGAAATTCGAAACAATTCCGGTGAATAATGTCTCTAATATCATCAAAATACAGAATATGGGGAGGCATCGTTGTATGGGGGCTATACTAAGACGTGGAACTGCATAGACAATTTCCCGTCATAGATGATGAACTTCAAATACGAATTTTAACGCAATTCCGGTAAATAATGTTGTGAAAAATCCTAAAAATACCGAATATCTTGGGATAGTGTTATATGGGTGCTACACTAAAACCTAAACCTATATAGACAATTCTCTTGCAGGGGGTAATGTATTCGGGGAGAACTAATTGGGTGGATTTTCAGACTATTCTATTGAAAAATGTGGCTAAAATCATCAAAATACCGAATATATTAGGGTACCATTGTACTGGGGCTATGCGATATCGTGGACCTATATAAACTATTCTCTTCCAGGAAGTAAAGTACTCACAGAGAACTTCTTGTGTAGAATTTCAGACAATGCCATTGAAAAATGTGACTAAAATCGTCAAAATACCCAAAATCGCAGGTATCGTTATATGGGGGCTATATGAAATATCGTGGACCTATATAAAAAATTCTTTTTCAGGGGTTAAACTACTCATAGAGAACTCCTTGTGAAGAATTTCAGGCAATGCCATTAAAAAATATGACTAAAATCATTAAAATACCAAATTTCGGAAGGTACCGATATATGTGGGACTTAAATTTCTTTTTATAAATTTCAATGTAATTAAAAATCTACCATTCGTGGATTATATAAAAACCCAGATTAACAATTCTTAAAAAATCCACGTCTGTAACTCTGACGATCCTTGAAAAAATATTTTCAAAAGTCCACGATAAGTGTCTCCAAAAGCCATAAAAAATATTTAAACAAATCTACGATTGGGAACTCTGATGATCCTTGAAAATTATTAGTAAAATCGACCATTTGTGGTTCCACTAGTCCTTAAAAATTTTTTCCTAAGATACCACGATTAGTGTCTCCAAAAGTCCTAAAAAAAATAAAAAAAATCTACGATTGGGAGCTCTGACGGTCTTTGAAAATTATAATTAAAAATCCATGATTTGAGAATCCACTTGTCCTTAAAAAAATATTCCTAAGAGACCACGAAAGATGTCTTAAAAAGTCCTAAAGAAATAATTTAAAAAATCTACGATGGGAGCCCTGATGGTCCTTGAATGTAATTCATAAAAAGCAAGATTTGAAGTTCCACATGTCCTAGAAAAAATAATCTTAAAAATCCACGATTAGTGTATCCAAAAGTCCTAAAAATATTTCAAAAAATTTTACGATAGGGGCCCTGATGAGGGCCATGGAAATAATTCGTAAAAATCCAAGTACCACAAGTCCTAGATAAAATAATCTCAAAAATCCACGATTAATGTCTCCAGAAGTCCTAAAAAATATTTAGAAACAAAAACTCTACGATCGGGAGCCCCGATGGTCCTTGAAAATTATTCATAAGCATCCATTATTTGAGGTTCCACTAGTGCTTGAAAAAATATTCTTAAACATCTACGATTAATGTCTTAATTAATTGAAGCCCTAAAAATTATTAAAAAAAACTCTACGATCGGGATCTCTGATGGTCCATGGAAATAGTTCATAAAACTACATTATTTGAGGTTTCACATGTCCTTGAAAAAATAATCTTAAAAATTCACGATTAGTGTCTCCAAAAGTCCTAAAAAATATTTTAAAAAATCTAAGATCGGGGGTCCCGATGGTCCTTGAAAATAATTCATAAAAATCCATGATTTGAGGTTCCATTAATGCTTAAAAAAATATTCTTAAAAATCCACGATGTGGGCATCCAAAAATTCTGAAAAAATATTTAAAAAAATCTACGATGGGGTGTCCTGGTGGTCTTTGAAAATTATTAGTAAAAATTCACGATTTGAGGTTCTACTAGTCCTTGAAAAAATAATTTTTAAAGTGTACGAATAGTATCTCCAAAAGACCTAAATCCCGATCGTGGAGGCCCGATGGTGCTTGAAAATTAGTCGTAAAAATCAACATTTTGAAGTTCCACAAGTCCTTGAAAAAACAATCTTACAAATCCACGATTAGTGTCTTCAAACTTTCTGAAAACAAGAAAAAAGATGTATATTCTGCCGAAGATGTGGAAATAATTTGGAGACAGAAAATTTATTCCCCAAGGAAAGTCAGCAAAGAATATTTTTTAAATCCGAAAGACATTAGAAAACCTTGAGAGAGGTTAAAAAAAGAATTTTATACCAGACACTTACATTTTTTTTTCTAAAAATTTTAATATAATTAAAAATCCACCATTCGTAGATTATCTTAAAACCCTGATTAGTGGCTCTAACAGTCCTTAAAAAAATATTCTTAAGAAATTCAACTCTGACGATCCTTGAAAAAATATTCCTAAGAGACCACGATTAGTGTCTCCAAAAATCCTAAAAAATATTAAAAAAAAACTCTACAATCGGGGGCCCTGATGTTCCTTGAAATAATTAGTAAAAATCAACGATTTGAGGTTCCAATAATTCTTTAAAAATTATCTTTAAAATCCACGATTAGTGCCTCCAAAAAGTTCAGAAAAAAATATTAAATAAATTCTACAATGGAGGGTCCTGATGGTTTTTGAAAATTATTCGCAAAAATCCACAAGTTGAAGTTCCACAAGTCCTTGACAAAACAATCTTAAAAATCCACGGTTAATGTCTCGAGAAGTCCTTAAAACTATTTCAAAAAAGTCTACGATCGGAGCCCTGATAGGGCCATGGAAATAATTCGTGAAAATACTTGTCCTTGAAAAAATAATCTCTAAAATCCACGATTAATGTCTCCAGAAGTCGTAAAAAATATTTAGAAATAAAAACTCTACGATCGGGGGCACTAATAGTCCTTGAAAATTATTCGTAAAAATCGACGATTTGAAGTTCCACAAGTCCTAGACAAAATAATCTTAAAAATCCACGATTAATGTCTCCAGAAGTCCTAAAAACTATGATCCTTGGTCAGAAGTACTAAAACATATTTTAAAAAAACTCTACAATCGGGGGCCCCGATGGTCCTTAAAAATTAGTCCTTGAAAGTCCTTAAAAAAATATTCTTAAAAATCTGTTGTTTGTCCCTAAAAATAATTTTAAAAAATCTGCAATCAAGAGCCCTGGCCCACTAGTCCTTAAAAAATAAAATTAAAAAAACACGTTTTTTTTGTTAAAAAAAATTCAGATTATAGCTTCTGTGCGATTAAAATAAGCAGTTAATTTATTAAGAACTAAATTCTGCAAGATATATTAAATTTACGTCCTTACTGGCTTCTACGCAGATCCTTGCCTAATCCACAATTGGTTGAAGCAGAGGTAGTAAAATTATAATTCCTCAATCCAGACACATTGTGGTTCGAGAATTAAAGCAATGTCCATTTTAGATAAACCCCTAGCCCCTAGTAAAGTCCAACTTGTGGCCAGCTCCCTCCTCCTCCCTTTTCACTTCACCTATGTTACGAATTTACCCATCCCCTTGCCGTAGAGTTCGGAGATGGTCAGTATCAGTCCACTCCTTCTGGTAATTCCCTCACAAAGGGTCAACAATTTGAATATCCATGAAGCTAATAAAACGCGAAATTAACATCCGATTCCATTACGATTTGGTAAATAACTATATTTCCATCAAAACAAGATCTGTTATAAAGATGGTAAAGATCGGACCATTCCTTCTGGTACCTTCGACAGAAAGGGTCAAAGTTTTGAATAACCAAAACGTTTATAAAATCTGAAATAAGCATCAGGTTCTCTTTATATTTTACACATCCCAATATTTCCACTAACAAAAGATCCGTTGTGAAGATGGGAAATATCGGTCCACTCCTTCGGATACCTCCCCCACAAAGGATCAAAATTTTGAATATCCGTAAAGCTCATAAAACGCGAAATCAACATCCTATTCCATTCAGACTTTGTACATCTCAGTATTTCCATCAATACAAGATCTGTTATAAAGAAGGTATAGATCGGACCATTTCTTCTGGTAGCTCCCCCACATAGGGTTCAAGATTTTGAAAAAAAAAACGTTCAAAGAAAGTGAAATAATCTCTTCAAAATTCACACATACAAACATTTTACTTACACAAGATCTGTTGTGAACCCCTTCTGGAACCTCATTTAGGTCCGATACGAAATGGTCAATATTTGCCCATTCCTTCGGAGTCTACTCCATAGAGGGCCAACAACTTGAATAATCATAACAGAAGTCAAAATATGTTTAAATAATCGAATATTTAAGAGTTTTGCCTTATTAAGGCGAAGATCATATGTTTTATGATTTAAGTGTTTGTTTTCTCTTTCGAGACGAGCTTAATGATCTGAAATTTGCAGTGAAAAGGAAAGCCAGATAGACACTATCACACACTCACCACTATGCGACGCGTTTCGCCGTTGGTTAAGCGGCTCATCAGGCATATTTGATGTGGATGATGGCTTACAAGGGCCGTTCTCTGGAAAGTAGTATATATTTCGAACTTATTGCAAATTAGCATATGCGAATTATACACTAGAAATTCTCCAGGTTCGACTCAAGTTCTATTGGCAGATCTTTTTCACAGCAACGTTTTGTTTTTGTAGTGATGGATTTTTTGTCCACAACAACTACATTGCTTCCAATGCATACACTTGTTTTAGTGATGCTTTAGGAAGACGGGTTAATGGCTCTGAACGTAGAGACGGCAACTTCTAGTTGGCTGCACACATTTCCGAATAATTATTTTTTATTTAGATTTAAGTAAACTATCGTTTGCTAGGCTATCAAAAATTAACCCGCCATTGCCTTATAAAACCGATTTAAAATCCTAACCCATCTCTTTGTTTTAGAAAGAATTCAACCGATACAATTACCCAAACGAGACTATGAATATCGGACATTTGAAGATAAACTCGGGGTAGCATCCGGTTGGGGTCGCTATGCGGCGGGGGTGCATGCCATCAGTAACGTACTACGTTACGTACAACTACGCATCGTGAACGGGAGGACATGCAAAAATAATTTCCCGCTCTCATATCGTTCGACGAATATTTGTACCAGTGGCCGTTATCAAAAGTCTACATGCAATGGTGACTCCGGTGGTCCTCTGGTGTTACAGCGAAGAACGTCGCGGAAACGTGTCCTAGTTGGCATCACCTCTTTTGGTAGCATATTCGGTTGTGATCGTGGTTATCCGGCAGCCTTTACTAAGGTTGCATCTTATTTAGATTGGATTGTCGATATAACGGGTATTGACCCCAGTCAAGATGTTTCCGATGCCATACGTTTGCATAAGACACCCAACAAGGATCATCATCATTATTATGGTAAACATAAGAATAAAAAACTGCGGAAGCCATTGAGATTGCCACCACAACTGGCAAATGAAAGTTTCGACATTGACGATGAGTCGGAAGAAATTGGTGTCATCAACACATCGAATAGCAAATATCCAGATGCTGAATTATTTGCACTGCATTTAACTCAAACGAAAACTAGGTCATCGATTTTGAAAAAGAAATTGTGAAAATTTTATAAAAATAATAGTGATGTTTATGTTATGTACAAAAAATGTTCCAGTCAACACAATTTGTAAAGTATTATTGACAATAAATTTTGAAAATTACAAAATAAAAAATAACATGGATTTCATTTGATTACTTTTGTTAAAAAAGAGGTCGTAATGTAAGTCTAAGGTAATGAAAAGGGTTACATTCATCATTACCTAATTGTTGGGTGGGTATAACTAAAAACTCATATTACCTAAACGCGGCCAAACCACAAATAATTACAATTTTGAGAATTGAAATGCGGAAACTAACACAAGTGAAAAGCTTATAAACTTTATTGCTAATAAAAAAGTTATTACCATGAATGGACACATTTTAGAAATGCAAAAAAAAAAAAAACATAAAAAGTTACGTTTGGTGTTTGATGTAAGTCTTTGTAATGTGAGCTCCAGCATTGCCAACAAAACGGGTTCTTAGAAAAAAAAAAAAAACAAAAAAGTTTTTGAAACTGAAAATTAAACTGCTCCATAGCCAAGTTTTTTTGTCAATAAAAAAAAATTCTCAAAATTCTTGGTTATTCAAAATATTGACACTTTGTGGAAGAGGTATCAGAAGAAGAGGGGCCGATATATCCCATATCCATGCAAAATTTTGTGTTGGTAAAAATATTGGGAAATGTGAATCTTGAAAAGAATTTAATACTTATTTTGCATTTTATGGGCGTTTTGATTATTCCCAATGTTGAACCTTTTGTTGGGAAGAAGGAGTGATCCGCTATATCCCATTTTCAAAACCAAATTTTGTGTTCATAGAAATATTAGGATATGCAAAGTTTGAAAGAATGTGAGGATTTTTTCGAGTTTATGAGTGTTTCTGGTTATTCAAAATTGGAAGACTTTGTGGGAAAGGTACTAGAAGGAGTGGACCGATATATTCAATCTTCACAGCAGTTCTTGTATTGGTATAAATATCGGAATGTGTTAAGTTTAACAAGTACAACAGCAGTAAGCTCAGACGGGTCGAACTTTGACCCTCCACCATTTGGAAAGATTTTAGAAATTTTCAAAAAAAAAGATAAAATCGAATCCGTTAAAAATGTTAAAATTTTAAAAATCTCGAAAATTGGAAGTCTCAGTTATATTGGGGTTTATAAGAAGATGAGGACCGGCATAGCCAACATTTGTCATAGGCCATTACAACATTCAAATACGAAACTTAAAAAAAACCAAAGACGTTTACCTGCATAGAATATTTCCTGTCACAGGCTGTAATACCCATTACGAACTCCGAATACGAAATTCGAAATAATTCCGGTGAATAATGTCGCTAAAATCACCAAAATACCGAATATCGGGAAGTACAGTTATATGGGGACTACACGAGGACGTGGACCTGCACAGACAATTTTCTGTCATAGGCTGTAGTAACCATTACGAACTTTAAATCCGAAATTTGAAACAATTCCGGTGAATAATGTCGCTAAAGTCATGGAAATACAGAATATAGGTAGGCATCGTTATATGTAGGCTATACCAAAACGTGGACCTGCACAGACAACTTTGTATAATAGGCTGTAGTAGCCATTACGAACTTCAAAAACCCAATTTGAAAAAATTCCGATGAATAATGTCGCTAAAATCAACAAAATACCGAATATCGGGAGTTACCATCATATGGTGGCTGTACGATGAAGTGGACCTGCACAAATAATTTTCTGTTTTAGGCTGTAGTATCCATTACGAACTTCAAATACGAAACCTAAAATAATTCCGGTAAATAATGTCGCTAAAAGCATGAAAATACCGAATATCGGGAGATACCGTGATATGGGGGCTATACCAAAACGTGGACCTACACAGACAATTTTCTGCCATAGGCTGTAGTATTCATTACGAACATCAAATTCACTCAGTATACCCTCCATACTATGTATGGTGAAAATTGTGACCCTTTTTGGGTGAGGAACCAGAAGGCGCATCGTTATTTCGAAAGTAGAAAATATTGGTCGAATCTTTCCCTCCTTTTCAAAACCTTAACAATTTATAACTTCCATTATATGGGGAACTAATATATCCATAAAATATTCCGAAACACAAATGATAGTTGGATGACAATGCGTCAATTAACCCTTAAAAAAGCAATAATCACGAGGATCTGTTATATTAATCCTTTACAAAATATGGACTTAAATTGAAAATTATATTGCTCAAAATGTCATCCTACTCTTGATTTTATTGGAAAATGTGAGACCCCATAAAATACCGCAGAGCAACATTCGGGCAGGGTGTGACGGTTTCATTGGCCGTCTGAAGGACATAATTCCTGAAAAGGTATTCCTGATTTCATTCAATAAAATTTAAAAAAAATATATATAAAATTTATGGCGTTTGACTTCGTTGCAGTTTTTTTATCTCACCGTGTACAGTCGGTATCCAAATCTGTAACACTGATCGGCCCGTGGTTGCATAACACCCCAGCATTAGCGGCTCCTATTTATATGGGGGCCGGCACAGAGGTTTGGATATTGAAAAGGCGCCGAAACATCGCCTTGTTAGTCTAAGGATCATTGGAATCGGGTATACCAAGACGAAATCAAGCCGGGGGTATACCAAACCAAGACTCACCCCCAGGCCAGCTAAATTTCCGCGAGACTTTCCCTTCTCCGCCACCTGTGAACGCGTCTAATAGCAATCAGCTATGCTTCCCGATGGCGAAGAGACACATCCAATCATCAAAATTCTTACAAAATCCCTCATCACAATTTTTATGCTATATAAATATGTCTAGCGATTTATTACTTCTTTCTAAAAAATTGATAGCAAATTTACGAATTTAAATTCGAGTAAAATCGTTATAACCGCATGTATGTAAAAATAACTACAAAATAAAAAGAAACGTTGATTTGAAACAATGAAAAATAGGTATAATCATCTATTCAATAACTAGTTCTAGGGTAAAATGCCGGTGTTTGGTAAAAAACTTGATGAAGCCATTTGTTGTGGCATAAAACTAAATGCATTCACATCATTTGCCGAGGCACTTGATGTTGTTGGTTGTGTTGGTGTTGTTGTTGTTGTTGTTGTTACTATGGGCATTGCGTCCATGGCGTCAGTCTCTAGATTATTTTCAGGAATACAAAATTGCATGGCAGCAGGAGCAGCACCTTCCATTTCCTGTGGTGTTTTACAACTACTTTCACTATTATCCCCCTCTTCGTCATCTTCCATGCTATTGTTAAGCTTGACCAGGAAGTCTTCCAATGAGATTTTCTTCAAGGATAGACGACGGCCGAAGGCTTTCTTTATTTTGGCTCTTCGCTTTTTGATCAATGCCTTGTTGAAAACAAAGCCATCGCTGCAGGCCAAGACACGTCTCAGCTTGCGTGCTCCAATAAAACGCACCTGTTCATATTCTCCAGTACCATCGGTGTTGTTGTCACCATCACCACCGCAACTTGGATCTGGTTCCTCAAATATTGTCTCCAAACTAGCTGGTCTGAAGTTGGTTATCTTTTTGTTTAAATAGATTTTCTTAATTTCGGCAGGTTTCAGATTTCCAAAGTCTTTGTTCAACGAACTAGTGTGTCGGGCAGGTTTCATAATGGTACGTCTTTTAATACTGCTGTGATTTTCTTTGGAGCTCCGCGAAGGCATCTGGCGCCGTTCGGCAAATGTTGCTCCAATACTGTTCCGTCGTAAACGGGCATTTTTTCTATTTCGACCGACATCTGGGACGTCATTGTCCTCCTCTTCATCGTTACTGCACTCATCTTCGTCTGGCTGTTGGTGAGGATTAAAGGAAGTAGACGACGCTTGCTCAGCAGCGCAAATCAGCGCCATTTTCGTTGTCTCTTCGTTATTTTGCATAAAATTGGGTATACTGAAATAAACATTGCAAAAAGGAAATAATAATAACAAAAAGCGTTCAATTGTTGTTGCCAACTTACCAATTTTCGTCAGAATAATTTCCAGTGTTTTGTTTAAAATTAATATTTGCAATTCCACAAACAATTCCTTCCATCATACATAGCTTTTTTTTTTTGTTATATTGAGAGAGCGTAGAGATGGAAGGAACAAGTAAACACCTGTTCGATAACACAGTGTTATCGATAGTTGATTTTTTGTGATTTTGCAATCAAATGGTGATTGAAGGGGGTTTCGCATTCTCTGTTGGTGTTGATGGAATGCCTTAAAGGAATTTTTAGATTGAAGAATTATTTAAATGCTACAAAAGTTTGGATTTGAAACTAATCACAGAATAGTCATAAAGCGGCAAATAGACCACACAAATTATTTGGGCAAATTCACACGTATTTAGCACACACACGTTGCAAACGTTTGCACAAATTTCATTCGAAGTAAGTACTCAGCGAGTGAAGTCATTCGGAAAAATGTTTGAGAACGCAGCTATTGCCGCCGCTTTGTCACAATCTGTAGAATTCCTTATACTTTGACAATAAAGTGGAATATTGGGAATTTTTTATGTCTCTGTTTGCATATTCCTTCGACCTTATGTCCCACAGAGCAGGCAAAGACCGGTAAACTTCAATAAATTCCAAAATGAAATTCTGTTCTTCTTCTCTTTCCATTTTTAAAAAATAACAACAAAAAACAAACAAACAAAACTACGGCGGCAAGTCAAAAATTAACTTCTATTCTTCTTCTTCTTTTGTTGTGTTATGCTTGACTGTTTATCACGAACTGAACAGATTTAGTGCAAACGCCCATACACCACACAAACATTTGCGCAAACATGCCGAAAAATCTAAATGGTTTTGATCAAGGTAGATCTAACAGGTAACCGCATCGGCGAATTGCTACAACAAAGCAACTTTTGTGGTCCCCTCAAATGTCAAAATTGGCATCTAAGGCGAAAAACATAGATTCGCCATGACATTTAAAGGTTGCGGCAAATTTGTTTCAACCAATCAGAAACGAGGTGTTTGTTTACATTTTATTTTGTGTGCCTCTCATCGTAAACGAACGTTGCAATAATTTTTTTATTGTAAAACAAATAAGAGTAAAATAAGTATTAATTGTAGTGTTGCGATATTTTTAAACCAAGAAACTTATAATGACTATATTTTACTGGTTTAAACCGAAAGTTTTCCGGAACTGCAAATGACAAATGTCGAATTCTTGCACTACTTCCCGTGATGTGCTTTGGGAATCTTAGATGTTGAGGCTAACTTAATTCTTAAAGCTTCACTCCATTCTAACCTCCTTCCTTCACTTTCTTTTAATTTTTTTTACTGGTTTCACTCTTAACTTGCTCTTAAATTATTTGAAATATTATAAAAAGGTATTTTTAGGGAAGACAACATAAACAAATTTGTTGTTGCATTCATTTAGGGCGAATTCTTCATTACAACAATTTGTTTTGACATTTAATGGTGCCGTCAGCTGGGCTGATGCGATTACCTAGTACATCTACCTTGGTTTTGATTTTTCAGATCGTATCAAAGTCGTACGTGTGACACATACAAACTTATTTCACTAACACTCATAAGCGATTTGCACAAAAATTTGTGTGGTCTATGGGTCGCTTAATTATTTTCAGGGTGATTTAATAACAGGCTCCTACGAGGAGACATATTTAGTACACAAATTTAAAAGGAAAAACTGGCTACACATTTTGCTGAGAAGAGAGATGTGTAAAAATCATAAAATCAATAATTAATTGGAATTTCTTTGGAGTCAGGGTCTGGAAAATTTTGCTGAGTCCAAGTATTTAGCCATATGACTACAGAGGGTATATATCATTTGATACGGCTAAAACGTGCCTCATAGAAATAACGATTTTAGACCCTTGTTCTCTTTGGGACAAGTCCGTTTCAGGACATTTGGAGTCGATCTAGCGATGTCCGTCCGTCCGATAAGTGTCGAAGGGAGAATCCGATTTGGTTCAAACTTGGTACATCATAATATTCTTCTCAAACTTAGATCGAAGATGGGCAATATTGGTCCACTCCTTCTGGTACCCCCGGAAATTTCAACATTTTTAAAGAAAAAAATTTACTGCAAGAAAGAGAAACGATAATCCGATTGTCTTAAAATTACACATAGCACAATATTTTTATTTAGAGTCTGGTGTGAAGATGAAATATATCGGTCCACTCCTTCTGGTACCTCCCCCACAAAGGGTAAACATTTTGAATATTCATGAAGCTCATAAAACACAAAATTTACATCCGATTTCATTCAGACTTGGTATATCTCAATATTTCCATCAACACAAGATCTGTTATAATAATGCTCACGATCATAAAATCCTATCATAACTCTTATAAAATGTGATGTAAGTGCCCGATTGTCTTCAAACAATATTTTTATTAACTCAAAGTCTGGTGTGAAGATGGAATATATCAATCCATTCCTTCTGGTACCTCCATACAAAAGGTCAAAATTTTGATTATTCATGGAGCTCATAAAACACGAAATTAACATCCGATACCATTCAGACTTGACGCATCTTAATATTTCCATTAACACAAGATCTGTTTGAAATATGGTAGAGATCCGACCTTCTGGTACCTCCTCCACAAAATGTCAACACTTTCAAAGAAAATAATTTACTGCACGGAAGGAGAAACGATTATCCAACTTTGCTCTAACTTTGCAAATTCTAATATTTGCATCTGTGCTAGGTTAGGTGCGAAAAAGGACAATATCGGTCCACTCCATCAAGTAACTCCCGCACAAAGGGTCAAAATTTTGAATAATTATAACTCCTATAAAATATGATATAATTGTCCAATCGTCTTCAAACTACACACATCACTATATTTTTATTAACCCAAGGTCTGGTGTGAAGATGGAATACATCGGTCCACTCCTTCTGGTACCTCCCCCACAAAAGGGTAAACATTTTGAATATTCATGAAGCTCTTAAAACACGAAATTAATATCCGAATCCATTCAGACTTGGCACATCTCAATATTTCCATCAACACAAGATCTGTTATAATAATTGTAGAGATCGCACAATTTCTTCTGGTACCTCCCCAACAAAGGAACAAGGTTTTGAATACCATAAAATCCGATCATAACTCTTATAAAATGTGATGTAAGTCTCCGATTGTCTTCAAATATATACATCACAATATTTTTAATAACCCAAAGTCTGGTGTGAAGAAGGAATATATCGGTCCACTCCTTCTGGTACCTCCCCCACAAAGGGTCAAAATTTTGAATATTCATGAAGCTCATAAAACACAAAATTAACATCCGATTCCATTCAGACTTGGCACATCTCAATATTTCCATCAACACAAGATCTGTTATAAAGATGGTAGAGATCGGTCCACTCCTTCTGGTACCTCCCTTACAAGATGTCAACAAAGAAAATAATTTACTGCACAGAAAGTGAAAGGAAGGATAATTCGATTTTGTTTGAACTTTGTAAACCCTGATATTTGCATCAGTGCTAGGTCAGATGTGAGAATGGGCAAAATCGGACCACTCCATCAAGTACCTTCGCCGCAAAGGGTAAACATTTTGAATAATTATAACCTTTATAAAATGTGATGTAAGTGTCCGATTGTCTTCAAATTACACACATTTCAGTATTTTTATTAAACCAAGGTCTGGTGTGAAGAATACATTGGTCCACTCCTTCTGGTACTTCACCCACAAAGGGTCACAATTTCCAATACTTATATCTGTCATAATTTAGGAAACAAGTCAGCGACTCTTTACAACTAAATATTTCTCTCAACCCGAAACCTGAGATGAATATGAAATTTATGATTTCCAATAAAATTGGATAAAAATTTTCGATTTTCCTGTAATTTTGCCCATACCTCACCTCATTTTAACATTTTCTTAAAATTATTAAATATCTCATATAAAGTAAAGGAAGTAACCAATATAGTCCATACCTGGCAGGTCGCAATATTTATATCATGTTTATTTCGGTCCGATACGAAATGGACAAATTTGGTTCATTCCTTAGAAATCTACTCCATAGAGGGTCAAAAATTTTAATAATCATAACAGAAATCAAAATATATTTAAATAATCGAACATTGGCTGAGGGTATACATCTGTCTGCACAACCGACTGATACTTTTTAACTTGTTTTTATACAAATATATAAATAACAATGACAGAAAATTCAATGATGAAAAATAAATTATTTGAAATCAAGTTGCTTTATATAAATGCCAGAAGCAAGTTCAAAGGAGAATGAAAAAATTGTAGGAAAAAAAATCGCCTAGTCTAAATCTTGAAAAATGGACTGAGGAAAGAATGTATCACATTCCTTAGCTATTTTTTTTTTGTTCAGAATAATTTACTCTGCCTTGCCCATTAGATTCCCATCGATTATATCAAATAACAGAGTTTTACGTAATCTAAGATAACTATGGCTACCTCTCCAATAAAAAGAAATAGAAACTGTTTTTTTCGGAATCGACTCTGGAGTTGGAAATGACCCCAAAATTGCTAGACTCCAAAGTCCTGGTCAGAGAAGACCTTTAAATCAATACAGACCAAAATAATTCAAAATATATTTTCAAAAATAATTCATTCTTTTTTTTTTTTTGGTTCACTTCTAGAACATTATCTTAGATTTTGTTCGATATTTGATAAATGTATTTATGTATTCGAAATTGTTGGAAAAATAATTTTTTGTATTGCTTGCACATGATTATTTTTTTTCATTTTAAGATTGATTTTTGCATTCTGATATCAAATAATCAATGCTAAAATATTATTTATTTTTTTTTTTTTTCAAACAAAGACACTTAATACGCTTTAACACGTCAACTAAGATTAGAATATAATTCGAAGAATATTTCGACCGATAAAGGCTGTTATTGACCAGGGACTGGGTTCTGGTTATATGAAAGTATGGAATGAAAAATATGTCCTTCTTCGCTTTATAGAAAATTTCATTTCATTTTTCAAGGCCCCATGTTCATAGCAAAAGAATTGAGGACCAGGTTAATTTAATTTTTATTTTTTTTCGTTCTATGAAAGTATGGAATGAAAAATATATCCTTGATAAAATTTTTAATCTAGCATTTCTTCCCTGTGCAAAAATTTTCATTTGATTTTCCAAGGCCTCATGTTCATAGCAAAAGAATTGAGGACCGGGTTAATTCAATTTTTAATTTTTTTTTCCAAAACCCATTCTGATTGGATCAAAGGATCACTTTTGTCTCATTCCAGTTACCTTGAGTTTATGCAGGCATCTTGGGATGGCAAAACTGTAGCTTAAGGTCTAATCGCAATTTAGTGAGCTTAGATAGGGCCTCAGACCTATTTTCTAACTTTAAATTTTTAAGAAAAAGGCAATTTCAGAATGTATCGACGGCATAATAGTAAGTTACGAATAAAACAATTTAAAAGGTATCAATCGGTTCTGCCGACAGACTAACACCCTCAGCCATTGTTCGATTATTTAAATATATTTTGACTTCTGTTATGATTATTCAAACTGTTGACCCTCTATTGAGTGGGTTAGGAGGCAATGGGCCAATATTGTCTATTTCGTATCGGACCTAAGTAAATACGATATATATATATATATATATATATATATATATATATATATATATATATATATATATATATATATATATATATGGAGTAACTTGGTGACAGGTTGATAACTTCCTTCACTTTACATGACACATGTGATAATTTTTAGGAAATGTTAACATGTGCGGGAGGTACCAGGAATAGTATTCCATTTTCATGCTTCATCTAATACTTAAAAAAATATTGGTATGGGTAAAATAAAAAATCGGAATGGAATCGGAATTTGGAATTTTTGTGAGCATTCATGTATATTCAAAATTTTGAACCCTTGGGGGAGAGGTACCAGAAGGGGTGGACTGATACATCCCATCTTCACAACAGATCTTGTGTTAGTAGAAATAAAGTTTGAAATGTAAAGAGGACCTGATGCGTTTTATGTCCTTCATAGATATTCAAAAATTTGACCCTTTTGTAGGGGAGGTACCAGAAGGAATTGTCCGATCTTTACCGTTTTTATAACAGATCCTGTGTTGATTTAAATATTGAGATGTGCCAAGTCTGAATGGAATCGGATGTTAATTTCGCGTTTTATGAGCTTCATGAATATTCAAAACCCTTTGTGGGGGAGGTAGCAAAAACAGTGGGCCGATATCTCATCTTCGCAGCAGATCTTGTGTTACCCGAAATAATGGGATGTGTGAAATATGAATGAAACTAGATGCTTATTTCGGATTTTATAATAGTTTTAGTTTTTCAAAATATTGACCCTTTGTGGGGGAGGTACCAGAAGAAATGGTCCGATCTCTACCGTTTTTATAGCAGATCATGTGTTGATAAAAATATTCAGATGTACCAAGTCTGAATGGAATCGGATGTTAAGTTTCCGTTTAATGAGCATGGATACCCGAAATTTTGAACTTTTCTGGGGGATCGATATATCCCTACTTCACACCAGACCTCGGGTTAATAAAAATATTGTGATGTGTGTAATTTGAAGAGAACCGGAAGCTTATTCCGGATTTTATGATCGTTTCTGTTATTTCAAACCTTGAACCCTATGTGGGAGGGGTACAAGAAGAAATGGTGCGATCTCTACCATCTTCGCAATAGATATTGTGTTGATAGAAATATTCAGATATGTCAAGTCTCAATTGAATCGTATGTTAATTTCGCGTTTTATGGGCTTAATGGATATTCAATATTTCGTTCTTTTATGGAGGAGGTACCAGAAGGAGTGGACCGATATATTCCATCTTAACACCAGATCTTGAGTTTATAAAAATTTTAGGATGTTTTTTATAAAAGTTATAATTATTCAAAACTTTGAACCTTTGTGGGGGAAGCACTTGATGGAGTGGACCGACATTGTCCATTTTCGCACCTAACCGAGAACTGAGGCAAATATTAGGATTTACAAAGTTGGAGCAGATTATTGCTTCTCTTTCTGTGCAAAAAAATGTATATATTTTTTTTTTGAAAATTTCGACCTTTTGTGGGGGAGGTGCCAGAAGGTGTGGACCGATGTATTCCATCTTAGCACCAGACCTTGGGTAAATAAAATTATTGGGATATGTAAAATTTGAAGACAATCAGACACCTACGTCACATTTTATAAGAGTTATAGTTATTCAAAACTTTTACCCTTTGTGGGGGAAGTACTTGGTGGAGTGGGCCGATATTTTTTGACCTGACCGAGAACTGAGGCAAATATTAGGATTTACAAAGTTGGAGCGAAATCGGATTATTGCTTCTCTTTCTGTGCAAAAAATGTTTTTGTTTTGAAAATTTCGACCTTCTGTGGGGGAGGTACCAGAAGGTGTGGACCGATGTATTCCATATTAACACCAGACCTTGGGTTAATAAAATTATTGGGATGTGTGAAATTTGAAGACAATCGGACACTTACGTCACATTTTATAAGTATTGTAATTATTCCAAATTTTGACCTTTGTGGGCAGGTACTGGATGGAGTGGACCGATATTGTCCGTTTTCGCACCAGACCTACAACTACACAGTTGAAGTCAAATTGGATTATCGTTTCTCTTTCTGTGCAGAATATTTTTTTTTTTTTTTTGAAAATTTCGATTTTTTGTGGAAGTAGTGGACCTATACTGCCCATCTCCGAACTTGATCTAAGTTTGATAACAATATTATGATGTACCAAGCTTGGATCAATTCGGATACTCCCTTCGAGAGTTATCGTGCGCACCAGCGGGACAGACAGACATACAGACGGACGGACGGACGTACATCACTAGATCGACTTCAAATGTCCTGAAACGGATTTCCTCCAAAGAGACGTAGTGTCTAAAACCGTTATTTCGATGAGACACCCTTTGGCCGTATCAAATGATATATACCCTCTCTAGCCATATGGATGAGGGTATAAAAAGTCAATATTTGGGTAACACTTGGACTGCAGATCTAGAGGTACCAGTGTGTTCGGCGAACAGTAGTGTTTTGCAGTGTTTATGACTTCATCTAGAGTAGGAGACGACGTCTTTGGGTTTCATCCTTCATTCGTAGCATCTGAGAACCGTTGTTGGTTGGTTTGGTCCAACAATTCGTATCACCTATCCCAAGGTGGGGATGATTTCTCCGGAACTATTTAACCTCTACCTCTTTGAAATCCCATACCCTTTAAACGCCCAAATGAGATAGTTTTACTCGACAATTATCTGCTATAAAATGAAATGTAGAAACTAGATCCTCCAATCGGAAGACGGCAACAATTGGACTACAGACCAGTGACATCCAATGTCACCAAGCAATAGCGTTACGGAGAAGTAGTCATGAACCATTTATATGAGGGGATAAATGTTGTTCCCGTATGTCAAAGTAACCACTTGCTTGGGTGTTAACGTTTTAGTCATCCAAAATAAAGAACTGCCCCATACATCCAGGAATTTCGGAAAGGAGTATGCAAAAGGGGGTCCAATATTATAAGAGGGAGTTTCTAGATCAAAAAGTATGTCAGGCAGATCTGAGTAGAATTCATGCTGAGACAATCACACATGTCAAAAATCAATACAGTATGAATGTCGTCCTCGAAGTTCAACTCAGTCCCTCTACCTCGAAGTTGAAGAACGTCGGCTGTCAAGAAAACTCAAGGTCGTTTTTGCCCAAATACGTTCAAGAAGGAGGATAAAGAAGGAGTTCCAATGTTATATGAGAGGGCCACTAGATCAAAAAGCATATCAGACAGGTCTGAGTAGAACGCATACTGAGGTCATCACAGTTGTCATAAATCAGTACAGTATGAATGCCATCCTCGAAGTTCAACTCAGTTCCTCTACAACGAAGTTGAAGAATGTCGGCTGTCAAGAAAACTCATGGTCGTTTTGGCCCAAATACGTTCAAGAAGGAAGATAAAGAAGGAATTCCAATGTTATATAAGAGGTCCACTAGATCAAAAAGCACATCAGGCAGGTCTGAGTAGAATTCATACTGAGGTCATCGCCGTTGTCATAAATCAATAGAGTATCAATGCCATTCTCGAAGTTCAACTCAGTCCCTCTACGTTGAAGTTAAAGAACGTCGGCTGTCTAGAAAACTCAAGGTCGTTTTGGCCCAAATACGTTCAAATGTCGTCCTCGATGTCTAAGTTATTCCTCCTAGATTGCAGCTGAAGAACGTCGGCTGTCTAGACAACTCGGGTTAGTCTTGGTCCAAACACTTTTAGAATTGTGGTCTAAATTCGAATTAAGTGAGAATTTATTAAAACTCCTATCCTGCTGGTAATACAGGCCCGGAGAAGAGCATCAAACGTTGGAACAATTTCTCTGCCACTGTCCAGTTTTGCAGACATCAAATTATAGTTTTCGTGGTTTCCGAGATGTCCAGAATCGTAATCTTAAAAATCTTAACTAAGTTTCTTTAAGATCTCCAGATCAGTAAAATTTTCTCAGGCTTATGAGTTTGTACCCAACGACTTATGGCGACATGGTTGCATCTCTTTCCAACCTAACCTAACTTTCTGCAGAAAAAATTCCCAACCTTTGAAAATAAAAATCTCTTCTGGGAAATTTCTGCTGCCACACAAAAAATAATTCCGTTCAAACAACTACAGATAGGCTGAGCATAAGATAAGATAGTTGGAAAATTTGCACTAATCCCAAAGCTATAGCTTATCAGTGGAAAACCCAACAGCAATAGAGGATGAATTTGCAAAATAATCACATGAAGCGTCGCGCGACTTCTTGTGTAAAAATAATAGCACTTAAGAGATAAGCCGGTGCTGGAGTTACGTATCTTCGCTTTTTTTAATTATTTATTTACTATTTATTTTTGACCACACTTAAGATACAATCCTACGATTGGCGATCCACTTGTTGTTGTTCTTCTTCTGGGTATGGACAACTTATCGCCATAGATTCCGCCGTTGCGTGTGCCGGGCGGTGTGAAAGTTTGTTCGATGATAAGATTCGGGCAATGGGAATAGGCCCCATTGGTGGCAATTTTATATAAAAGCCCTCGCCCGTGGTGGCGAGAGAACAGTGATTGTATTCGTTGCGCCATGAAAGTTTTAGTAGTTCTTGCCTGTGCTTTGGCTGTGGCCTCAGCTGCCTCCATTTTCGACACTCCCGTGTTCCCACGCGACTTGGTGGTCGATGATGCCATCGAGGGCCGTATTACCAACGGTCAAAAGGCCAGCGCTGGCCAATTCCCCTACCAAGTTGGTTTGTCCCTGAAGACCAGCTCCGGCTCCTTCTGGTGTGGTGGTTCCTTGATTGGCAACACCTGGGTTTTGACTGCTGCTCACTGTACCGATGGCGTTACCTCCGCCACCGTGTACTTGGGCTCCACCACCCGTACCGTTGCCAAGGTTACCCACACCGTCAGTGCCAGCGCCATTAACCAACACACCGGCTACAATTCCCGCACCTTGGCCAATGATATCTCCTTGATCAAGATCCCCTCGGTTTCCTACACCACCGACATCAAGGCCATCAAATTGCCCGCTGTTGCCTCTTCCTACTCGACCTATGCTGGCAGTTATGCTGTTGCTTCCGGCTGGGGCCGTACCTCTGACAGTAAGTATAGGCGGTCCTCTTTTTTTCTCAGGGGTTTTGAAATTCAATGTTTGTGTTTCTGATTTACAGCCGGTTCCGTTTCCACCGCCTTGAACTATGCCCGCCTCCAAGTCATCACCAACTCCGTGTGCTCCTCCACCTATGGCAGCTCCGTTGTCACCTCCAACACCATTTGCGTTGCCACTCCCAGCGGTACCTCCACCTGCCAAGGTGATTCTGGCGGCCCATTGGCTTTGGAATCCTCCGGTATCTTGATTGGTGTCACCTCCTTCGTCTCCTCTGCCGGTTGCGCCTCTGGTGCCCCAGCTGGTTTCGTCCGTGTCACCAGCTACTTGGATTGGATCAAGTCCAAGACTGGCATCTCCTACTAAAGACTTTTGACGGATTTTTGTAATTGTTTGAAATAAAGAGATTTTGAAAGAAATTGATGGTGATTTTTTATTTTGGTTCTGCTTCTGGGAGAAGAACAATAGGTCTTTTAGGGTAAAAGTAACTGGCTTTCTGGATTGGACCAACTATGAGAAGACCAACTGATCTTCTAGATGTTGTCTAATGGAGAAGACTAAAAAAGCTTCTAGGAGAAGTCCAGCAGGTCTTCTATGAGAAGCCCAACAGGTCTTCTATGAGAAGCCCAACAGGTCTTTTTAGAGAAGTTCTTATAAAGAAGACCAATAGGTGCTCTAGGAGAAGAGGTCTTCTAGGAGAAGATCAACAGGTTTTCGGAGAGAAGATCAACAGCCATTAGCTCTTGTTTGAGAATACCTACGGACCATCTGGGCGAAAACCCACGGGTCTTCTAGGAGAATACCAACATGTCTTCTAGGAGAAAACCAACAGGTCTTCTAGGAGAAGGCCAACATGTCTTCTAGGAGAAAACCAACAGGTCTTCTAGGAGAAGGCCAACAGGTCTTCTAGGAGAAGACCAACAGGTCTTCTAAGAGAGACCAACAGGTCTTTTTAGAGAAGTTCTTCTAAAGAAGACCAATAGGTGCTCAAGGAAAAGATCAACAGGTTTTCGAGGAGAAGATCAACTGGTCTCGTTGGAGAATACCAATAGCTCTTCTTTGAGAATACCTAAGGGTCATCTGGGCGAATACCAACGGGTCTTCCAGGAGAAGACCAACGAATCTTCTAGGAGGAGACCAACTGGTCCTCTAGGAGAAGACCAACTGGTCGTCTATGAGAAGACCAACTGGTCTCCTTTGAGAAAACCAATAGTCTTCTAGGAGAAGACCCACAGATCTTTTAGGAGAAGACAAACTGGTCTTCTAGGAGAAGTCCAACAGGTCTTCTAGGAGAAGACCAACAGGTCTTCTAGGAGAAGGCCAACAGGTTGTCTATGAGAAGAGCAACTGGTTTTTTATGAGAAGACCAACTGACCTCTATGAGAAGACCTTCTGATCTTCTATGAGAGGAGCAATATTTCCAGGATAAGACCTGCAGGTATTCTAGGAGAATACCAACGGGTCACCACATTTACAAAAATAACCAACAAAACAAAACCTGATCCTCGTTTAAAGCTTTTCAAAATTTATTCAACTATTCTCCAACTATTTAGTAGACAATCCCGGTGTTCTCCTTGATCCAATCCAAATAGCTGGTGACACGGACGAAACCAGCTGGAGCACCAGATTGGCAACCGGCAGTGGAAACGAACGAAGTGACACCAATTAATTTTCCAGAGCCAACCAAAGCCAATGGGCCGCCAGAGTCACCACTGCAGGTAGAGGTACCGGCTGGTGTGGCAGTGCAGATATTCTTGGAGGTGATGGTCAAGCTACCATAGGTCTGGGCACAAACGCTGTTTTCAATGACTTGCATTTCGGCGTATTGCAATTTGGAGGAAACAGCGGTGGCAGAATCCGAGGTCAAACCCCAGCCGGAAGCGATGGCCTTATCACCGGCATAGGTGGAGTAGGAAGAGGAGATGGCGGGCAAATCGATTTTCTTGATAAAGGTGGTGTAGGTCACCGAGGGGATCTTGATGAGAGAGATGTCGTTTCTTAAGAGAATCGAGTTGTAGCTGGCATGTTGACGGAATGCGCTGCTGGCAACGGTGTAGGTGACCTTGGGGCTGGTACGTACAGTGGCGCCCAAGTAGACGGTGGCAGAGGAGGCACTGAGAAAATAGAAATGAGATCTCGTTAATAATTTGGATTTTGGTGAAGTATGTTGATTAAAGTTACCCGCTGGTGCAATGGGCAGCGGTCAAAACCCAGCTGTTGTCAATCAAGGAACCGCCACACCACCAGCCACCGCTGGAACTGGAGAAACTCAAACCAACTTGATAGGGAAATTGTCCCTCGGCAGCATCCTTGCCATTGGTAATGCGACCCTCAGGAAGAATGACCTCTGGCAAGAGTCGAGGTTGAATGAATTTCTCTTGGGGCGGGATGGCACCAGCCGAAACAGCGGCAATAGCCAAGGCAAGAACAACGAAAACTTTCATGGTGTCAAAGAGACTGATAGCAGTTCTCTCCCAATCTGGGTATATTTATATCATTCGACAAACAAAAATGGCATTTCTTTATTATCTCGGGGGAATTTTCTTCCTACTCACGGCCCGAGAGGGGTATTAAGGCTTAATTCTAAAATTTCGTAGTAAGTGATTGGTAAATCCAAAGATACTGAACTTTAATCACACACACACACAGTGCCACCTGAGACACCTGATAGCGTAACCTATTTTGAGACTTAGATATTGCGAATTCTTATCAGCTGGGAAATTGTTTGGGCCATAAGAAATTGTCTATGCCAATTTAACGGGATTTTCCAATCACCTTGATATGGTAAACAAGTCCATACAGTCTGTCCAACAAATTTGTAGAAGTATATTTTTCAAGGTCCACAAACGTGGAGTTTTGGAAATACTTTTTTAAGGACGTGGATTTTGAAGAATATTTTTCCAAGGACCATTGGAGGACCCAAACTTGGATTTTTAAGAATATTTTGGCAAGGACCATTAAATAACCCAAAGGGTGGATTTTTAGGAATACTTTTTCAAGGACCATTGGGGGCCCCAGCCGTGAATTTTTAAGAATATTTTTTCTAGGACCTTTGCAGCCTCCAAACGTGGATTTTTAGGAATACTTTTTCAAGGACCGTTGGAGGACCCAAACTGGGATTTTTAAGAATATTTTTTTAAGGACCATTGGAGGCCCCCACCTGGGATTTTTAAAAATATTTTACCATGGATTTTTAAGAATATTATTTCATGGAGATCCAAAACTTGGAGCCCGTATGCTTGGATTTTTGAAAATATTTTTTTAAGGACTATTGGAGCCCTTTAAACGTGGAATTTTCAAAATATTTTTTCAAGGGCCGTTGGTGGGCCCAAACGGGGATATTTAAGGATTTTTTTCAAGCGCCATTGAACTATTTTTTCAAAGACCATTGGAGCCCCCAAACGTGGATTTTTATGAACATTTTTTTAAGGACGTTGGAGGCCCTAAACTTGGATTTATAAGAATATTTTTTCAAGGACCATTGGAGACCCCAGACGTAGATTTTTAAGAATATTTTTCAACGACCATTGTAGGCTCTAAGCTTGAATTTTTAAGAATATTTTTTAAGGACCATTGGAGGCCCCAAACGGAAATTTTTGAGAATATTTTTTAAGGACACTTGGAGCCCCGAAAACTTGGAGTTTTAAGAATATTTTTTCAAGGACCATTGGGGTCCACCCGCGTGGGTTTTTAAGAATATTATTTTAAAGGTCATTGAAGACCCCAAACGTGGATTTTTATGAATATTTTTTCGAGGACCATTGGGGCCCCAAACCGGGATTTTTAAGAATATCTTTTTTGAGGACACCAAACTTGGATTTTTAAATATATTTTTTCAAGGACCATTGGAGCCCCGAACGTGGATTGTTGATAAAATTTTTTCAGGGACCACTGGAGCCCCCATGCGTGGAATTTTAAGAATATTTTTCCAAGGACCATTGGAGCCCACAAACGTGGATTTTTAAGAATATTCTTTCAAGGTCCAATAGAGCCCCTTAAATGTGGATTTTTAAGAATATTCTTTCAAGGTCCAATAGAGCCCCTTAAACGTGGATTTTAAGGAATATTTTTTCATAGCCATTGGAGCCCAAACGTGGATTTTTTAGAATATTTTTTCAAAGACCATTGAAGCCCCAAACGTGGATTTTTAAAAATATTTTTTCAAAGACCATTGGAGGACCCAAACTTGGATTTTTAAGAATATTCTTTCAAGGTCCAATAGAGCCTCTTAAACGTGGATTTTAAGGAATATTTTTTTCATAGCCATTGGAGCCCAAACGTGAATTTTTTAGAATATTTTTTCGAGGACCATTGTAAGCCCTAAACTTGGATTTTTAAGAATATTCTTTCAAGGTCCATTGGATACCCCAAACGTGGTTTTTCAAGAATATTTTCAAGGATCATTTTTCAAAGACCATTGGAGTCCCAAACATGGATTTGAGAGAATATTTTTTCAAGGACCATCGGAGACTCCAAACCTGGATTTTTGAGAATATTTTTTAAGGACTATTGGATACCCTAAACTTGGATTTTTAGAAATATTTTTTTCAAGGACTTTTGGAGAACCCAACGTGGATTTTCGGGAATATTTTTTCAAGGACCTTTGGAGGCCTCATACTTGGATTTTTAAGAATATTTTTTTCAAGGATTTTTGGAGACCCCAAAACGTGGATTTCTAGGAATATTTTTTTCAAGGAACATTGGGCCCAAACGTGGATTTTCAAGGATCATTGGAGCCTCAAACGTGGATTTTCAAGGATCATTGGAGCCTCAAACGTGGAATTTTAAGAATATTTGTTCAAGGATCAATGAATTTTTATATATATTTTTTTCAAGGACCATCAGAGACTCAAGTGTGAATTTTTCAGAATATTTTTCAAGGATCAATGGATTTTTAAATAAATTTTTCAGGAACCATCAGAGCCTCAAATTTGGATTTTTTAGAATATTTTTCAAGGACCATCAGAGCCTCAAATGTGGAATTTTTAGAATATCCAGGACCAATTGAGCCCCCAAAGGTGGGTTTTTTAGAATATTTTTCCAGGACCAATGGAGCCCCGAAGGTGGATTTTTGAGAACATTTTGTCAAGGAACATTAGAGCTAGAAAAAGGTGATGTCCAAGAATATTTTGTTTAAAAATCAAATGTGGATTTGAATAATATCTTTTCAAGGATCTATGCTTTTTTAAGAACATTTTTTCTAGGACCATTGAGCCCCTTGGGTTTTTAGGAATATAAAAACTAATACAAATTGTGGATTTTTAATTATTCCAATTTTCATTATTTTCTAAAAACATTTTTTTCACGAAAAGAAATACTTTCACGACACACTGTACCGACTGACCAACTCAGCGCAAATACCTAATCTATATAGCAGAAAATTCCCACAGTACAAATTGTCGTGTGTCTGGATCAACGCATCAAATGTGCGGCAGATATTCTTTTGATAATAGAAAATAGAAGTTTATTTTTTGCGATAACAGGTGACACCTTCAACGATTCTCTTGGGGTATAAATATGGCCAGCGTTGCCCAAGGCTGGTATCAGTCTCTTTTTTTCTAGTAGACATCATGAAAGTATTCGTTGTTCTTGCCCTGGCTATTGCCGCTGTATCGGCTGGTACCATCCTGCCCGAACAAAACTACATTCATCCCCGTGAATTGCCAATTGCCGTTAATATTGAGGGTCGCATTACCAATGGCAAGGATGCTGCCGAGGGACAATTCCCCTATCAAGTTGGTCTAAGTTTCTCCAGCTCCAGCGGTGGCTGGTGGTGTGGCGGTTCCTTGATTGACAACAGCTGGGTTTTGACTGCTGCCCACTGCACCAGCGGGTAAGTTAACACAACAAACTTCAGACAATTGTCAAGAAATTAACAACTCTCTCTTGCTCTCTTTCTCTCCAGTGCCTCCTCTGCCACCGTCTACTTGGGCGCCACTGTCCGTACCAGCCCCAAGGTCACCTATACCGTCTCTAGCAGCGAATTCCGTCAACATGCCAGCTACAATTCGATCATCTTGAGAAACGATATCTCTTTGATCAAGATCCCCTCCGTCACCTACACCACCTATATCAAGAAAATCGATTTGCCCGCCATCTCCTCTTCCTACTCCACCTATGCCGGTGATAAGGCCATCGCTTCCGGCTGGGGTTTGACCTCGGATTCTGCCACCGCTGTTTCCTCCAAATTGCAATACGCCGAAATGCAAGTCATTGAAAACAGCGTTTGTGCCCAGACCTACGGTAGCTTGACCATCACCTCCAAGAATATCTGCACTGCCACACCAGCCGGTACCTCCACCTGCAGCGGTGACTCTGGCGGCCCATTGGCTTTGGTTGGCTCTGGCAAATTGATTGGTGTCACCTCTTTCGTTTCCTCTGCCGGTTGCCAATCTGGTGCTCCAGCTGGTTTCGTCCGTGTGACCAGCTACTTGGATTGGATCAAGGAGAACACTGGCATTGCCTACTAGATTTGAACTTTTGTTATGGAAAAGTGATAATAAAAATATTATCTTATGATGAACTGATTTGCCGAAACCCAACCTTGGTGTTTATTTTCCGAAAATTAGCAAAAATTAAGAAAACATTTAAATTTTAAAGGTCTTTCAAAAAGTATATTCCTTCTTTTTTTGGTATTGGTCATAATTTCATTTGATGATATTTTCTATTGAAGTACTTCAAGTTCTTTTAGTTTAGTCGTTCACTGTTTTATAGTGACTTAGTTTCACAACCGTCCGTAGTTCCATCATCCGCTATTTAAGGTCATCGTTCAATTTAGTTCATATCGTGTTCCATTGGCTGCAGTTTATAAAGAGAACAGTCGCTTGTTTCGGTTCTTGTCATTGCTATGCTATTTTAGACATTCGCCATTGCAGCTCAGGTCTGTGTGTTGTAAGGTTGTTGTATACGCTATTAGCTCTTTAACTTGTAATTTCCATATAGCCCAGCTCGTCTTCTCTGGAGTATTATCTCACTTTAATATTTATTTTTATACCCTCCACCATACTATGGAGGGTATATTAACTTTGTCATTCAATGTGTAACTCCTCACAATACTCATGTCAGATCCAACAAAGTATATATATACTTGATAGGGGTAAAATTCTACGTCGATTTAGCGATGTCCCTTTGTCTGTGCGAACGAATTGAAGTAGGAGGCGAAAATTTTGCACACATGTGTATTTTGCCAGTAGGCAGGTTAAGTTCATAAATGGGCCATGTAGGTCCACGTTTTCATGTAGCCTCCATATAACGGTACCTCCCTATATTCGGTATTTTGATGTTTTTAACGTCGGAATTGTTTCAAATTTCGAATCTTAATGGGTACTTCAGCCTATGACAACAAATTACACATACAGGTCCACGTCCTCGTATAGCCCCCATATAAAGGTCATCATTTAATCGGAATTTTTCGGATTTTTTTTTAAATTCTCAAGTTTTTTTCCAAATGGTGAAGGGTATTAAATGTTCGGCC